TTATGTGAGAATATTATCTAGTGAACATTATAGGTTTTTTAATTTATTATCAAAATTCTTATGAAGATGTCTATTTAGTGTATACTTATGAGATTAAGTCTTGTAAAGTACTTGAGTAAGAGTATTCAAATACTTTTTAAGTACTCAAATACATATTATCTAAAAACTGTTGAAAAAAAACCTGGACAAAGTATTTTAAATAATTTCTAAAAATATATGTAGGTATTTAATATAAAATACTAATTTTTGATAATTTATTCTTTATAGTTTATATATTTTCTAATATCATTATTATCACTTGCAAGAAAGAAAAAATGGAGAATATATAAAAATATATTTTTTTGTCTATAAATTATTCTCATCTATTTTATAAAAAATTTAAAGTTCTTGAAATATCTATATACCTACTTTTTTAAAGTATTTGTATTTCTACTCAAACACGTATTTATATATTTTTTCAAAATATACATCTGTATCCGTACTTAACAAATATCTTTTAGAGACTGGTCTTTAGTGTGTACATGTTTTAAAAATATTCTGTAAAAATTGTAAAAGTACTTCAAATACCAAGTACCAAATACAACAGAGTTTAGCTCCTATTCATGTTGAGGTTATATTATAATTTAGGTATATCATTTAGTTTCTTGTTATTTTTAATGATTTAATGTTATAATGATATGTGATTTGTATAGATTACATTTAATGCCATATTTAATAAAAGTATAAAAAAATTTATAAATATATATTAGATATATCTTTTAATGTTTTATTATCTGTCCATGTTATAGGTAAACATGAATCGGTCAAACAATATCAAAAATGTAGATAATAAAGGCGTATCAAAAATTTACAAGTAAGAAAAATAATGCATTACAATGCTTAAATATAGATTTTTTTTTAATTTTATATATGGTAAATAACTTAAGTATTGTGATATATTAAATATATTTTTACATTTTTATTTGACTAATGTTAATGGATTATCATGCATGATTAATTTTGGATTAATATGGTGTTTATTGTTAATTGATTTATTTTGTAGAATATTTGAAGAAATATATTTGAAAGCACCCACTTTTTTAAAGGATCTGTCGGACAATGGTATTGATAATATAGAATCCATACGTGAGCAAATTGATTTTAAGAAAAGTATATATATATATTTTTATATTTTTATTTTTTATTTATGTAATTCATATAACCAATAATAATTTTATTTTAAGTTGATACAAAATTTAAAAATGGAGAATACTGCAACATTACTGATGCAATAAAAGATATAAGGACAGTATTCTTAAGCTGCTATTCATTTTATGGTGCTAGAAGTAATCATACTAAACAATCATTAGAACTTGAAGAACTATTAGAAGAAAAAATTAGCTACCTTGATAAGTAATAATTATTCATTTATTTTTTATAGTATTTCTATAAACAAATAATTCCCTTTTAGAAATTACAAATTACTGGCTGATGTTAATCTTACATTAAATTTGCTAAACATGGAAGGAAAATCTAGTTCCAAATTGAGATATCCAAAAGGTATATTGTTAATTTATTTTAATTATTAATAATATTGCACATTACCTAACTCATTATAATTAATGAAATGTTATATTTAGATTGTTATGATTCAGTATTATTACGAAGTGTTGCACATTGTCGCTCTGAACGATTAAAAAAGTATCATAAAACATTATCTACTACTCTTACCACAGATAAAGATGATGCCCATAGATTAGAAAAAATATTAAGTTGGGAAAATAAAGTTAATTTTAATGATGTATTTCATCAATATATAAGTTCAATGTGGGAGGTTAATATACAATTATTAATTTATGTTAGACATGTTTTTACATTAAGTCTGTATTGATTTTCTTTATGTTTCAGCTACCAGAAATAGGTAATTTTCTGGCTATTTTATTTAAAAAACTTGATCTTAGTATTATTAACCAAGGTGAAATTGAAAGAATGTTTTTAATGCCTAAAGAATCTACAACTATGGGTAAAGTAATGACTACTCTTTTGGATCCAAGAAAAAAAACCAAATGTATTGGTCCAGTAATGCCATATAAGGTTTGGTCTGAAAAACTTTCAAAGAAAGTATCAGATTGGTGTAAAGTATACCATACAAAAAAACAAAATAAAGTCATTGTTAGTAATGTTTTTACTTTTGATAAAATGTATGCTTAATATTTATGTGGAAGAAACAATAAAAACAATTTTATGTTTCAGGCAATGGATTTACTGGGCATCCATCCAGATTTTTGGACTGTTGTGAATGAAAAAAATCCTTTAATTGAAAAAGACTACAGTGAACTCTCGTATTTCATAAAAGTTTGGCTTGTAAAAGGACTTTGTGATTATGTTACTGTGAGTTTAATAACTTATATACATGTATTAATAATATCTAAAATGTTAAAATGATTGTTAGTTTATATAATTATATATAATTATTCATATTTTATATATATTTTTTTTAGATTAAATTTAAGACTATAAATGATATTATAACCAATTGTAATGCAAGACAATGTACAATATGGAAGAACGATTTGGAAACTGAGGAATATTTCTATTTTGATTCAATGCCAGATTTAAGGATATATTATTATAACATTCCGTATGATGAAGTAATCATTTTTAAATTATAATTTATATAATTTGAATGTAATTATTATTATTTTTTTTTTTTAAGCCTTGTCTTGAATTTCTCGAATCAGTAAAAACTGATGATGAAGTAGTACAATTTAAAGATAAACTAATTATGAATGGTATGTGAATTCCTCCAAAACCTTTTTATTAATAATTTATATTATATACTACTTATACTATATGTTTAAAGGTTTTTCAGAGTGTTTTCATACGATACAAAAAGGAAAGAATTTTAAGCTTATTGCTGATTCGGTAGAAAGTCTTCGGGCTTTTTTTGATGAATTGGATATGGAAGGAAAATCAGTTCCTGAAAGTTTGATAAGCTCTCTTGAGAATTTTATAGTTAATATTGAACCGGAAGAATATAATTACATTGCCATGAACAATGATTCTAAAGTACAATTATTTAAGGACTGGGTATCATATTCAGATAGAATTCAGAAGGATAAAGATAATATATCAGTTTGGGAAGAGAAAGATTCTAAGTCAATAGCTAAAAGTAATATATATTTTAGGTTTTGAGCTAAGCAATGAATGTATTGATTTTATAAAGTTTTTTTTTCTGTGCCTGTCATAACCTTTTGGAGCAGTAAAAATGCATAGATTTTCAACTTTTATATATTTTTTTTAGTACAATAAGTGAATTTGGTTGGTGCATAGAGGGCGAAAAGTAAAAAATCACAACATAGTATAATTCTCAAAATATTTTGACTCTTTTTAAGCTATTTATTGAGATTTGAAATGCAGTGGATTCCGCTTAATGTGGCTACCGGTTAATACGGGCATCCACTTATTGTGGGAAAACATGTATATTCCCAAAACAAATGTTTTGTTTTAACTAATTTCGGTTTGAATGGGCAACCGCTTAATGTGGGCAAACAGGGTTGGTCCCAACGTGCCCACATTAAGCGGAATCCACTGTATTTGATTGGTCTTAGGTTTTTCTATATACATTTGTTGATAAAATTATTATAGATGGTCAAAACTCAAAAGGCTTGACAATTTAATAAAATGTTCTAAAATTTCAAAAAAAAATTGTAAATCAACAATCATTTTTGTAAGTTCAAATTTTGAAAAAAATATTATATAAAAAAATATTATTTGGCAAACTTGGTTACCATACAGACCGTCTTAGATAATAATTTTTCATATTACACAATGATTTATCATTGAATTCAAATTTAACACATCCATTACAGTGACCTATTCAATGACTCAACCCAAACTGTATAATAGAGCTGTAACCTGTATTCCACCTCCTAATTTTCTTTTAATTTATATCTGAAATATCAATTGATAAGTAAAGAAAATAGCTGTCTTAGAGAAATATTACTGTAATAAATGTATTCAATTTTAATTCAATGATATAAAATAGTTGAATAAAAAAAAAATAATACTGAACAGACAGTAAAAAATAAAAATAAAACGTAAAGTAGTCGAAATAATGCTTCGATTTTCAAATTCAGTATCTTGTTCGATGGGAAAGTGAATATTGTTGGTGCATTGGGGCGGTCAAAATTTGAAATTCCCGATGGCTTTCAAACAAACCTGGAAAAACAAATTACCGTAGACACATGCATTTTTCACTGGTTGTTTATATTTCCATTTTCTATACATGATCAATTTTTCAAAATATTTTGATTTGTTTGAACTGTTTAGGGACATTTTCAGTTTCCAATTTTATTAGTTTTTTTTCTATGAATGTCAATAAAACTTTATGTGGTGAATAAAAATACTTGAAAATTGTATACAAGGCTCCTACTATATTGTTACAATGATATTTGAAAAATATTAAAAATTCTTAGTCACAGGTTTTTTTTATAAGCATTTAAAGTTCAAAAATATGGAAAAATCACGAAATTTAGCAAATTATTTTGAGTTAAGAATTTGTAAATATTTTTCTTTTTTAAAATGTAATACAATATTCCTTATAAGATTATCTACCTTGGAACAAAGCAAACGGGGCCTCATAACAGTCACTCTTATCAGTCTGCATGCTCGAAACGGGTTCCTTCTCTCGTACACAAAGTATTATAGATTCACTTTCCTACCAAAAAGATGCTGAAGTATTTTTACTGCCCCAAGATGACAGAAATTTTTTTTTGATTTTATACTTTATCCTCATAATAATTTTACTGTACGCCTGTACTACGAATTATTCAAGCTAATATTATATTTTTTACATTTTAGCTAAAAATGAAGAATTAATTATTGCTGAGAAACGTCAAAGAAAATTGATTGTACAGCAAAATGTTGATATAATTTATGAATCTGATGAATATGTTAGTGAAAATGATAAATCCTTATCTGATTTTACTGATTCCGAAGATGAATGGGGTGCTATGAATCAGTCTAAGTTTAAAGTCAAAAAACCAAAGCAGACCCCTTCTAATTTTTTTCTTGAACTAGAAGAGCGAGGAAAGAAAGCTGGGAAAATGTTAAAATATGATACTAATCAGAGTGATGTAAAGCAATATGAAGATAAAATTTCAAAACGCAGTACACCTAAAATGTGTAAGACTAATAACAAAGATAAATCTATCAAATCAGTTAAATTACTGAAAACTCAAAATGAATGGAAAATATGTAGTAGTAATACCAATAATAACCAAGTAACATTACCATTAGCTAATGATAATAATAAAGTCAAACAACCTCTACAAACACCTCCTAAACGTTTTAAACTAGACAAGCAATTGAGGGAAGAAAATACTATTTTAAAAAACGGCCCAATTAAAGGGATGGATAAGAAAGATAAAAAGATAAAATCATTTAAATTACTAAAAACTCAAAATAAAATAAAATGTAGTAATAATACTAATACATTTGTTAATGGTCATAATGAAATATTGGTTGGTACTAAAAATATAGAAACTGTTTGTAGTAATGAAGAAGTTGTATTAATTGATAGTGATAAAGAAGAAAGCCAAAAACCGTATGATGGTTTAAGACAAGTAAAAATTATAAACCTAGATGAATATATGCAAAATGATTGTGAAGTTTTTAATGATAATTTTGAATCATCAACTTGTACTGAAAATAAAAATAGAAAATCCAATAAACAAAAGAATCATAAACAAATAGAATCGTCTGTTATTTCAATAGAAGATGATTCTTCAACTATTATTAGTGATGAAGAAGATGCTGTTCAATTTATTTCGATGAATGAAATACCTAAGTGTTCACCTTTAAAAAAAAATAAACTTGGTAGCTTAAAAACTCATTTAAATAAATCATACAACTCTGTTTCTGCAAACAGGCAAATAATCCCTACCAATTATATTAATCATAAAGCAAAATCATCTATAATAGATAAGCTTTCACAAAACGTTACTATTATGCCAGCTAATGTTATTATACCAAAAGGCATTGAGGTCACTATGGTTAAAACTCCACAGACAAGTATAGACTCCAATTTCAATTTAGTTAAAAGGAAGTCAACCATGTCAAATGGCCATCCACCAGATAATCCTTCAACAATTAATGTGAAATGTGAACTTATTTCAAAGCCAGATTTAAACGGGGAAGTTACGTTTTATGTTAGACTACCCAATGGAGAAGAACATGTTGGTCCTAATGAGCTTATCAATCAATACCTTAAAGAGCACAACAACCAATTACCTGACTATTGGTTGGTAACTTTACCAGTAGAAGTTGCCAAACAATATGGTTTTAACTAAAAAAAAAAATTATTTCTATCTAATATAAAATCCTTATTCTTATGATCCCAATACATTTATTTTCAAGATTTAAGCTGTAAAATTAAAAATGTTTTACATTTGTCGGTTTTATGATTTTACCTATTTAATTTTGATATTTTTAATTTTTTTATAATTTTAATTTTTTTATAATTTTAATTGAATTTCTATCTATTTGTTTTGCTTATATTATTATGCATATATTTTTTATGATTTAAATACTGTAAGTATGTATTTATGTATGTACTACAAATTGCGATGTTGACTAATAAGTTATAAGTTAAATAAACATAATAATTTTATCATACAATATATTATACAATGTTTTGGTCAAAATGAGTTCAATACACCAACTGTATTACTAATCAGTTACTAACATTAATAATATTTATTATAAAATATTTTCTGTTGTATACAGAGTATAAAATATAAAATTATTTTATCTCTCTTTGAGTAGGTATATTTTTAATTTTTCTTCTACCACATTTATTACCATGTCACATACATTTTAAACGAACAAATATCTTCCTTCGTGCACAAATTTATCAATTTATTCTCAAATGTTATGGTTACTGCCATTTTATTTCCAATACTAGTTCCCTTGACCCTTATACTCAAAACTTTCCGTAATTTACTACTAGTAATTAATTTTTATAAATCTGTTTCTTTTATCTGGGCTCGGCTTCTACTTGGCCTAGGGACTTCTAATCGGCGTGGTCTTCTAATCAGTTTCTTAAATCTACACGTGTTTTAACAATGAATTAGCTACGTTCATGGGAGATGTACCTTCTTTGTCCATGAAATGCCTTCACTACTCATTTAATACGTTTTTAATTCTCAATAATATAATCTCAATAATGTGTCTTTAATAAATGCCCTTTAATAATCAATAATAATTCAAAAAAATGCTCTTTAATAATAACCTCATAATAATTCACAATAATAACTTCAATATAATATGCTTCAATAATTCTTATAAATAAATTCTCAATAATAAATCTCGATATAACTTTTCGTACAATATAATATGCCCTTAATAAATTCAATATAATAAATTAACTTCAATATAATATATTGGTACAATAATAATATTCTCAAATAAATTCAATATAAAATATTAAAATGTCCTAAATAATAATCTCAATATCTCAATATAATAAAATGCCCTCAATAATAATATTCTTTATAAATTCTCAATATAACTTCAATAAAACAAATGCCCTTTATAATTATTCAATATAATAATACGTTTTATAATATTATACTTTAAATTGGGTAAAAATTTTAAATAATTATTCACTTACAATAATAACGTGTTTTTTAATGCTAACATTTGTACGGATGTGATCAGAGCCAATGTTCATTAGCGCTCCTGGCCATTTATCATATTTCCGCCCTCGTAAAATTTTTTACCCCCCCCCCCCTCACACATAGGTACACTCACACACACACACACACACACACACACACACACACACATATAAAAGACTTATGCATTCGTTATTTTATTTTTAATAGTAAAAATTATAATATTAATAAAAAAAAATAATATATTAAACACTGCCAAACTTATATAACCTTATAAAATAATTAAAAAAAAATTATTTTTACGTTTCAATATTTCACTCTTCGTGCTTTTTTGGTAGTATATTATAATTAAACTCCACTTTAGAAGGTTTATATTTCTTTTTATTAAGAGTATACTACACATGCGTTTGTTGTCTCCGTACGACATATTAATCACAGATAATGTTCTTAACTAAAAGTTTAATAATAGGTCAATGCACTCTAATATAAAAACTCACAGCACACTATTGTAACTAGTGAACGAATATTTGCTATGTCACTCGTATGTAAAACCGATAACAAAAATGGGTAACGTCCAGATATAATTTAAATAAAATAAAATAAAATCTTTTAAAATGTAATTTAAGAAATAAATTTATATTTTCAATATGCTATAATATTTTTTAGAAAATAAAATTTTTCAGACTCATTAAATTTATGTTTAATCATTAAACCGAATTAAAGATATTTTTTTATTGATATCACTATCAAGCTAGTTGTCCAAATTACTCTATAATAATAGTGATATATATCTAACCTTAGATTATCAAAAATAGTCCGTAGGATTAAAACAAATAAAATAAAATAGATACTTGGTGTGAACTGTGAAGATAATTTTTAAGACAATATTAGACTAATATTAATTATTATTTTTTTTTCTTAACTCCAAATAAGATTTAGAGGATTTTCAATTAATTAATCGATTAATTGAATATATGTATTTTTTTTTAAATAGGTGAACGGTGAACATACTATCTTAATGCTTATACATTATTTAAATTCAAATTGGATCGATAAAAACCAACGAATGTTAATAGTGACTTCTTGTATACCAACTAGATATTTAGTATTTACTTTCTTATAAACAATTATTTTGTATAAACCTAGGTTACAACTTAACACTTAGGTATATTAATAGATTATGAACTACAATTTTTTTTTATTTTTTTGGGGGTTTATTGGACCTTTAAGACCATCCCGTCTCACAACCAAGCTTCCATCCTTCTCTATCCAATTATGAACTACAATTAAGTAAATTAATTTAATTTTGTATAATTATAATTAATAATAATTAGGAATTCACCGTAGAACTGTTGTAGAAGTTCTTCCTCTCACTGACTAATATAAAATGACTAAATGCTGAAATAGGAGTATCTACCTACCTATAAATATGACGATTGACGGGACGACTATGGGAGTCTTTAAAATATAATAAATTTAGAATCCTAATTTTAACTTGAACGTGCGGCTAATATTTAGTAATAATGATCGATTTTCAAAACTACTATGTTGATAATTGACTTCAGTGCTGAGATGGTTGCACAAAACACGATTTCCACCAGTCACATAAATTAAATTTACACCAGCGTGTCGACGCTTAATAATGATATAAAATAAAAACCAAAAAAATTACAAATCATGAACGTTTATTAGTGTTAATGTAAATACGATTATAGGTTTTATAGCAATATTTATATATGTTTTATATAGCCGGACACAAACTCTTGGAGCGAACTCGGGATGATCGTGCACGGTGACTTACTACACTGGCGCCGTAAACGTGATAAGTGAGGGGGCAAACTAAACAAACTTTCAAATCGGTGCCCAAACACTCCTAAAAAAACTAACTATACACCTAATTATGGTGTATGTCGCTGTTAGCACAACAGCAAACCATTCGCCGAGCGAATCTCTTCACTCGGCTCCATAGTGAGCGACGTTTAGGTCTGGCGGCTGTTACTGTAGTTTCCATTTCTGCAGCATCTCCAGGGCCGCAAAGGGATACAATTTCCTGTAAACTGGCGGCCTCCAGGTCCAAAGGTTTTGTCAAACCATTTTTCGACTCTGCATCCCCAATTGACTGTGGTGCCACTTTCTGTATTTGACTTAACCGTTGAGGGTCGGATTCGACCGGCTTAACCAGTGGGAAAGTTGTCGAAACGGACAACATCGTGTCGATGTCGATAAGTTCTGCAGCGACGGGTGTCATTACTGCACTGTTAGTTGTTTCCGCATACAATGAATCCAGCGAAACGGTAATTTCCGTGGACGGCATTGCATCAGGTGCATCAACTCCGGCATTTCTTAGGAATGCCATATCGGGCATCGATTTACTTAGTCTTTGAGCCTTTGAAATCTTGATACTACTAACGTCGACCGCTATCTGACGATTTTCACGTAGATCACTGAAAACTTGCATCATCAAAGCGGTTGAGGACTGTTAATCGATCTGAACGTCTTCGCTAGCGGAAATTGACTGCTTTGGCATGTTGGGTAACGATTTATATCGTCGATGCAGTTTTAAACTGGTGAGATCATTGTCTTGAAACCTTTTAGGGCGATTTTGCCGGAGATCGTCAAACACCTGTTTCATTATTTCAGCAGAGGACTGTATTTGGGCTTCGGACGAATTATTCACTTCTGTGATATAAGACATAATGATAATCTAATATAGAATAAGGTTATAATAGACAAGGTATATAAGACAAGTTTACACTGTGTTATGATCACTGAATGATGTAAAAATATATTTACTGATTTAATAAGAACTAAACAGTTACGCTGCCCATAGTTACAATATTTGTAATGTTTTTTTAAAACCGGCCAGTGAGGCCCATTATTTTTTTTGAAAGAATAAATAAAAAAAATAGAGTGTGTTTGTAGTACATTCGTGCAGGGGAAGTAAAACTTTTTCGCAGTTGATCGTATGAGTTGTGATGTGTAATAAAATATTAAATAGGATATTTGTACTTATTCGGCATCTGTATAAAATTTTGTACATCTATAATATTATGTAAGTATTGTATATTAATTGTATTTAATTATGTATCGCTGTACACTGTTTGAATGTATAGACATTCTATAATATGTGGTTTTACACATTATAATAATTCACGTGATAATAATATAAATACTAATTTAATAATAATTATTTCAATATTTAAAAAGCTTATTCGTCGTAATGAGTAAAATTATAATTACAGTAAACTCAATTTGTGAATAAATAATATTATAATATTATGTGTGTTATGGCTATGTACATATTTATTTAAATTAGCAGGGTAATATAACTATAGACTCACTCGGGCGACTATAAGTCCGAAAATACAAAATATTCTATTAAATTGTCATTTATAATTTATATAATGTTTTCAAGAAGTAATAAGTATACATTACAAGGTATGATACAAACTAGTACCTAGCTACAGTATCTACTGTTGGGTTCACTAATAAGACGTTTGAGAATTATTCTCTTATCTTTGAAGTAAAATGTTGTTTTTAAATTCGTAATTAATAGATTATAATATAATGGTACTTATACTATTAAGTAGGTAGTATGTAAGGTACGCATTTTTACAAACCGTTTCAAAAAAAAAAATAGAAAATGTTCTGTTAAAGAAACACTGCAGCTTTTGCAACATGTTATAGTAATTAATAATTATCGTTATGTTTTTTTTTATATCAGTTTTGTACCAATGAAAGTTTTTTTATAGTCACTATAAATATAGGTAGTTACAACATAATTTACAGTTTTAGTATACATGCAAAGGTTAGGTTACAAAGGGTAGACTAAAATAAATTTAGTTAGTATATCTAACCAAGACATCTGGTCATGTAGATTATTGATCTAAATTTCTAATTAGAAAATATACGGACCGTTGGCTGGTATTAATAGTTAATACATACTCAAATTACTTTACTAAACTATACAATTTAATATCTTTCTTAAATAATTAAGTTTTTTGTAATGAATCTTGTAATTGAATCTTCATCAGTGCCCTGCAGACTACAGTGCATCGTAAGGGTGCTCGGGTATGTCGAATTTCTTGTGTTGTTATATTTTATTATATTATGTAAACGAGTAATTACAACATTAATAAAGACTAAATAATTTTCATCACACATAGTCTTTATAGTGATAGCATTTTGATGTAAAGTGCGCACAACCGAAAATCATGATCAGACTAATTTTAAGGCATTTAAAATAATATGTCAATACTCAATATGACTGGAATCGAAAATTATATGAAGGCTGTTGTATATGTAATTTCAGCAGTCAGCACACAACTTTGTGTAAATCTCTTGCACAACTCAACTACCTATATTATGTATGCGCATTAAGCACTAAATACTAATGTTCTATAATATACCATTCCATCCATTTAGAACCTATTCGAGAACATGTTATAACTTATACCCTTTCATCTAATTTACTCAAATCGCCTATTAGGTATCAGATATAACTTATTTTGTTGTGATCGTATAATATTATTCGTAGGTACTTGAAACTTCTAAAGTAAACTACTATAAATCTGTGACAGTATGTCAGTATCAGGGTTTGTTGTTGACGTATAACGCATTATAAGTACCTAATGAATATTGTGATATGATTTATTTGAAGTTTATTATAGGTATACCTATTTTGGGTAATTTTTTTTTAATACTATAGATAAGTATATAATATGTGTTATAGGTACCTAGAATGACGGTTCATACCCACTTTGCCGAACCCCAGTTTGCGGACAACTCAGTTCGCCGACAAATATACCAGTTTTAAAAATATATTTTAGAAACATTCCCATTTCGCCGACAGTCTAGTTTGCCGACATCTTGGTTTGCCAACAAATTATAAATATAGTTTAAATTTTCCCGATTCGCCGACAGGTGACAATAGTTTTTATAAAAAAACGGATTTTATGACAGCGATAACACAGTATGTTGTCGATAAGTTCAATGATTAAATGATTTGTTACATGCGGCCCTTCAGGGATCCAAAAGCTGGTGTACTTGATAAATAATAATAGTCAATTAGAATGGTAATCAAATGTATTATATTAAACCAGACAAAACAAGCAGAATAATAGTGTTGATTGTAGTGAATTTGTAGCTCGTTCCGAAGTTGATAATCTCCGTGTAAGTCGTGTGTGATGGCTGGGCGGCTAAGCGAGTCGTGTGGTGTTCTCGTCTCTGGATACATCTAACTCAGGCTGTCTCGCTGTCCCCTATATATATGGTGGCGGCGTCCTTTGAAAGTGAGCGGCGCGTGTACAGTCGTCCTTGATATGGACCTCACGATTATGAAAGTGGTATTCGTAGTCGAAAACACTTTTGGGTGTGGTCGCATTCCTGGTTGTTATTATGAGCAAAATATATGATATTGCGTAATCCCATTACAGATTTCCCACATATAAAATCCAGAGGGAGTACAGATTGGTGAATTTAGTTCGTTCCAGCCGTGTGTACTGTAAAGTTCAAAATTTAATAGTTAGCCAGTTAAAAATAAAAATGGAATGGTTTAAAATAAAATCAGAAAAAAATCATGATTTATTAGTAGTCAATAATTTTATTCACCGAGTGGATAGAATACGGGACAAAACCGAATATTATAAATGTATAGGTATAAAATTGCGGCGGTCGTGCTATTTTGAAAAATAAAACTGACGCAATATTATCGAAGCCTCACAATCACCCAACACACGGAGTTGAGTTGGCTAATCGTGGCTTTCGAAATAAATTGAAAGTAAGTAAAAATTTAGTAATGTTGTAACGTGACTAAATTATCCCCGTGGTACTAACCGAAGTCGCTATAATAGGTTTATGGGTCGTATAATACAAATATGCCACAATATCGGAATAAAGTCCGGGGAGATAAGGCGAACCCAAGCCCGACCGCACACACATACAACAAAAATAGAGAAACAAGTTTTATATCGTATTTCAATATTATATCGATATACACCTGAAAGGCCGCGCCACCACTGCGTTGCTGCCGAAAAGTCGTCATTCACCGTAACACTTCCCGACAGCAGTCATCGGCGCAACGCAGTTTCCGACCAAGTGTGCAATGTCCCCAGCCATGGAGTAGGACAATTGGATCGGCCAGGACTGTCCGGAGATCCGAGGGTGGACAAACCATGCAACAACAACAATAGGAACAACAACAGCGGCTGAGACCAGGCCAACGTGGTGGTGACTCTACAGGTGTCGGGTAATTTACATGTACTACCCATGCACAAATTTCTGCCTATGTTATTTAAGAAGATGTGTAATAAATTGAAAATCTAAGGTTCAAATTATAATGTATATATGTTTAGAAATCCATGTTTCTCCGACCTAACCAGTCTCGGATCCGTGGTGGTCGGTACCCTTTTAGTGTCCGACCGTAACCTTACAATGTTTAAGTACAAATTATAAAAACATAATATCAAATATATTATATTATAGTACTTATTAAGTGCATTATGTTCCGAGTCCTAATAATGATATATTATATTATAATTATATAATGTTTGTTTTTTTTTTCTAAACTTTGATTAATGAAGGAGGAACTTAATCAAAATCCCACGAAACCGGTACCTAAGACATTTAATGAAATTAGGAGATCTGTCATAACTTCAGGAATAGAAGGTGCTACAAATTCGGAAGTTATAGATGCTATTCCCGTATTCACCAGTATAAAAAGTTCGGGATACAGAAAAAAAATGAAAATGATTCCACCTTTACCGTCAAAATTATCTGATTTAACGATCGAATTTGATTGGCGTTCTACAAATGATGGGAGAGATTTTTTATTAGGTAATTATTTTAAAATTTTAATCTATTCCATAATATAAATATTACAAGTCAATACAAAGTAATATATTTATAATATTTATAAACTAATTAGGTTCAGAATTAAATGATAATAAAATAATTATATTTGGAACTGAAGGATTTTTAAAACGGCTTTGTAACAGTGAAATTATTTTCATGGATGGTACATTTAAATCCGCTCCAAAATTATTCTTGCAAATATATACATTACACTGCTTTGTAATGGGAGTTATGGTACCAATGGTATGTTATCATTTAAAATAGTATAATATTATATATAATAAATAATAATAATATACTTATACGTCGATCAATATGTTCATGTCAATTTAATCGTGTATATTATGATTATGTATAACCTGTATATTATGAAATACCTAGTTCATTCATATCAAACATTATAATTTGAAATATTTATTTATATTTAGGTTTATGCTTTTTTACCGAATAAAAGCACTAATACTAATTACACAAGGATGTTCAATATTATTAAAGAAGCTGCCTTGAGAAATGATTTGGCTTTTAAACCAAAAACGTTTCAAATTGATTTTGAAATAGGAATGGTTGTTGCCATTAGTGATTCATTTGGATATAATACAGAAATAAAAGGATTGCTTTTTTCATTTTGGACAATCCATATGGCGTCAAGTACAAAAAGTTGGACATATAATAATTTTTTATTTTAATTTATATTGACTTTTATTATATAACTAGTATAATAATATAATGTATACCTAGTATAATATAATGTTTATTTTTTTATATAATATTTGTATTCGGCGAATTGGGAATCGGCAAATTGGGAACATGTAAAACCGGTTTTGACCTGCAGGCGGCAAACAGGCCTGGATGTCGGAGCTAGGAGGGGACCAACGCTGCCGCTAGAAACAAAAGCAGCACATGACGGCCGCAATTAAATTTTTTTTCTGTAAAACATGCCAATTTTGTTCCAATAATACGGCTTACAGAATGGTTTTAGAGCAAAATACCTTAATTAAAAGTTGTAGAGAAGAGTTTTATCGGGTGACGTAAGAAGCTCGATTTTCTATATTTCATTATCAAAATCGATAAAATCGTTTTGCGTTTTCACTTTTTTACATGTGAATAATTGGTATAAAAAATTAAAATATCGAAAATCGAGCTTTTTACGTCAACCGATATAACTCTTCTCTACAACTTTTAATTAAGGTATTTTGCTCAAAAACCATTCAGTAAGTCGTATTATTGGAACAAAATTTTCATATTTTTGTACAGTATTTTTGCCCGTGTGGCATCCTCTTAAAGTAAAAACACATTAAAAAAATGTGCTAACTTTATTCTTCGGACAAAAATTAACTTAATTTAGATATTTTTGAAATAAAATTAACTTGAAGTTAACACTTTAATCTTGAAAAAAAAGTAACTTATTAAGTTAAAAATTAATTTGAAAAAAAAGTCAAGAGTTAATGAACTTAATTAAAATTAACTTACCGTTTTAACTTAATTTTAACTTTTAACTCATTAATGCCCAGGCTTCATTATTTGTATTATATTATAGTAGCTGTCCCGCCCGACATTGTCCATTCCAAAGATTTGTATTTTTAATAAATATATTTGTACACAATGTATATACCGCATATTTCATCTAATTATAATATTAATATAATATGTAACGAATTTCAACCATTTAGATTGACAAAAAAAAATTTCTTTTTTCGTATGCTAAAAAAAATCATGTGTGAGCTACCCTTTACCTATCTACAGCCTATATGAGTTGAAAATTAAGCTATATACACCCTCCAAGTTTCAAGTAATAATCTATTGAAATAACTTTTATTGAACACTGTCATTTTTTGAGGTTATTAACTTCGGATAAACCAACCCCCAATTTTAATTGTACCTATAACGCGGGCCCCCCTCAACAATGAAAAAATACAAAATTTAGATTATATAAGTGTATCTTGGTTGTTGACGTTGTTGTGCACCTACCTAGGTACTTCAGTTCACAAATAAATTTGGGTGGCTTTGCGAACTAAATCGACCTAGATGGACAATTTATTTGTGGTGGATTGGGTATAGGCTAAATAGCACTTGGTATAAATCGAACGTTTTTCAAACTACTCTGTAAACTTTTCTGATATCTCCAAGGACAATTTGAAATTTACACAAATTCGATCAAGTAGATTTTGAGAATCTATATATAATAGTTACAAATTTACATTCAACTCTCATATTTGTTTTAAGAGACGATTTTATGATCCTTTTACCTATCCTTTTACCAATGACATACAGATAAACATTTTATTATATATATATATATACATAGATTGTTAGTACTTTCGGCCACCCAATTCATTTTACCAAGGAAAATTATTATACATTAAAACCTTTCCCGTGACTCGACCGATTTAAACCGTATTAAAAACCGTATTAAAATAAGTAGAGTTATTTTCGAGATATGCTCGTCCATACAAAAAAGGGGATTCTGTTTTATAATATATATATATATATATAGATTATATTATATTAATGTTTAATTATTATTATATTATTTTGTATATTGCACATTATAGTAGAAATATCGTATATGAGATCGGGGGCCCCTGTGAATTGCACACCCAACACTCCCACTGCCAGGTACATCTGATTATGAAGTGTTCCTGGCCCTCCTATATACGATGTCGGCTCCTTTGATCTGGTCGGTGCGTGGACCCATGTGTCATTGAGGTGGGTGTAGCCGTTCAAAAAGTGGTTGTTCTCACAGTGAATGAAACTGCAGCCTCGTATATTAATTATGTTGTTGTCCGTTCATTTGATTAGTTTGCAAATGCTACCTTATATAGAATATAATATTTAGTTTATACGAAGTCACCGCTACGAGGCCGGCATATCTCAAGGAGAAACGTTGTTCCTCTGGTAACAATTATATACTAACACGTGAATCGATTACCTACACATATAATATATTAATGCGTAAAGACCCATTATCTTTACAACAGTTTGAGTGGTTCTAACCCGAGCAAAACAGTTTATGGTATATTGTAAATTACATTATATTGTATATTACATTTTAAAAAGAAAAATTTTAATGAATTCTCAACTAAAAATAATTTTCTAATTTTCGTGATTTTTCTATATTTTGTCAAATTTATACTTTAAATGCTTATAATTAATAAAAACTGTGACTAAGGATTTTTATTATTTTTCAAATGTCATTGTAACAATATAGTAGAAGCCTTGTATTAAATTTTCAAGCTTTTTTCCCAACAAATAAAGTTTTATTGACATTCATAGAAAAAAAGCCTAATCAATATAAATAAAATTGGAAACAGAAAATGTTCCTAAACAGTTCAAAACAAATCAAAATATTTTTAAAATTTTATCGTGTATAGAAAATTCTGATATAAACGACCAGTGAAAATTCCATGTATCAATTGTTATAGATTTACACCAAAAACCGAAAAAATTCCAGTTTTTCCTTAATTTTTATGTTGTTTTTTCCGACACTTTTAAAAACTATTGGGAATTTTAAATTTTGGCCTCCTCAATGCATCAAATATCAACAATATTCACTTTCCCAGTGAACAAGATACTGAAGTTGAAAATCGAAGCTTTATTTCAACTACTTATCGTGTAGGTACACAGACACAAAAAAAAAGTGAGTGCTGTCATGGGACACATGGTAGAAACGAAGTTTCTTTTCCAACAAATATTATAGATTACAAATACATTTTAGTGGAACCATTAAAATAAAAGTAAATGTGAAAAATAAATGAAAATGAAAATTATTATTATTACTTTATTTAATTACTAATTACTATTATATTAATCATATTCAATAATCGAAATTACAGGCCTGTGATAACTGAAATATGATACGTACAGGGCCGTCCTTAGAGGGGGGGGCGAGCAGGGCCTAGCGCTCTTTGCTTAAATTTGGGGCCTCGAGTTTGAAAAAAAGTGGTAATTTTTTTTAAAAATTGTTTTATTTTCATAGTACCTATTTAAATTGCATGTTTTATATAATTAGTAAATATAAAATAACGAAGTTGATTTAACGTAAAAATATTGAAGTACCTATCAACAATACAAGATTATCGTAATCGCAACACATTAGCCGTGGTGATGCGGATAGCAGGCCGTCTTTTTCGTTGAACTGTTATTACTTATTACTTACCTATTAGTAATAGATAATAATAGATTTAAAGCTTTGGTGTCGCTCGTCGGTGTTGTTAATAATAATAAATAATATTTATTGAGCGTAGACCTATTTTATTAGCATTAGTTTTTACTTTTTCGTGTGCGCGTTTGCTGTCGACATCGGTTGTATCTAATATTCTATTAAATTACGGTGAAAATTGCGATTTGAATTTAAATATCGACGTGGCAACGGTCCGTCTTTTGGAATGTGCCGACCCAGCTGGGGCGGTCACGTGGACCATCGTGAGAACCGATTTGGTCACACACTCGATATAACCTGAGTCAACACATTTGTATGCTAATATGCTATAATAGTATAATATTGTCTAGAGATCAGCCCTGTCCCGGGTCAACACGGACCGGACAGGGATTCCGGGTTAGGTATAACGCGTAGCACAAAATTGAAAAAAATACACCAAAGTTAACCACTAAAAGGTAATTAACATTATATTTTGATTAATTAAAATTAATTAACCTTTCATCACATAGGTATTATTTTCTTCATAGCACTCAAACATTAGGTATATTATGTGATATAATATAGCAAATATAATATTTACAATAAGGGATATGAATTGACAGTGGATTTTATTTAGGGGTTTATTTACTAAAACATCTCTGTTTAATCTTGGATCCTGTGGTGCTGACTGAACGATTTTTTTTTCCTTCTGGGTAATTTCCTTTTCTTTCTGGGTAATTTTATTTATATTTTTAGTATGCCAGCGTGTTGCCAAGTTGGATACTATCAAATATTGTCGATCTTTTAGTACATTGTGATTAACAGTGGAGGTGTAGGTATAACATATTGAGTAAATGTACTTATCAAACCAATCTGTTGTACATGCCGTGTAATAAGCTAAATCTAAAAGTAACAGTTAATAAATTGCAATTTTTTTCTGTTCCCTATGTATGATACATTAGTATAAATTGTGCAATATTATTATTGTACTTACAGCTTACATCTAGCAAAATAACAAATTGTATTTTTCCAAAAGTAGTGCTTGGCACTTTAATTAAGGCAATGCAGCTCAAAATTAAGTCTATTGTGAAAATTCCAATGTATGATCCAACTGAAATGAAATATTTTAGCCATTTATATCTTTTCCATTCACTCTAAAAATAAATACAAATGGTTCATTATATTTTTTTAAATTTACACAAAACGTACCATATTACTCACTATATACTTAGTCCTATTAATGTAAAACGTATATGAAATAATCATAACTATTTAATATAGAATATATTTAATGGATACTAATATTATAAACATTTATATTAAAATAAAAAGTGTTTATATTATCCAAAACTCAGAATTAAATTTAAAAAAATCTTTAAAAATAACATGATCATAATTCAAAAAAATGGCCATCAATAAATAAAATATTAAATCCCTTTAAAAATGTTCACATTAAATTATTAGGTATAGTTTAAATAAAATATAGTATTTATTACTTCTTCTGGTCTTACGGGTATTCCACCCAGTGACTCTCTCTTACATGCATAG